ACAGACTGAGCTACTGCTGCCCCTTGATGGACTGGAATGTACTGTACTGGAAAAGTACAGAAAAGGAGTCCAGTCCTTTTCTAATGTAAGGTGTCAGTCAGAATGATGTCTGGCATTAAACAGAAGGATTAGTCAGTCTGACTGTAGCTGTCACACATGATTAACACATTGTTACACTTCTGCTGGGGTTTGTTCCTCTATTAGTTTTTTCCAAAACAAACATATTCCACTTGGGGATTTCCATTCAGTTCATAGCCAAACATTTCCATACAAATCAAAAATTATTTCTCAAGGTCTTTGATGACTAAATAATGTGGCAACATGGAGAACAGTGTCATGTTTGAAAAAAAAAGAAAAAAAAGAAAGTGCCCTCAATAGTGACCTAATGGGCAATAAAAAAATAAAGCATCCTATAGGTGCCCTTTCAGTGGACAGAGTGTGATAAAGAGTGCCCCACTGAGCGTCACCTTTTGGTTTTTACGATCATAAGATGTTATAAATCTAGACTGTTAAAGTGTTTCCCGGCAGTTTGCATCGCAGCAGCACAAATAAAGGAACCAGCAGAGGGAGAGTACAATGCACTGCAAACCACCCAGCGTGTTTAAAGACTAGCCCCAGTTCATATCTCCTGTCTACAGAACCAGACTCTGGCAAAGCGGGCAGAGCTAAAGTACCACACATATTTCCTCACATACTCGACTCCCCTCTTGCGACACGCCCGGGCGGAAAGGGTTAATGAAACTGGAAGTGAAGCGCTGAGCCCCCTCCCTCTGCTTCTCCCCCCCTCTCTCCCCTCCTTCTCTGGGCCCATCCGTTTCAAACAGAGGAAAGTTCCCGACCCTTAAACGCAATTTGTCCCCAGGTTCTGCTACACACAAACGAGCTGTCGGCGTCGGCACAGTTTGGAAATAAACCCCACACCCCCCATATCTGAGGAGAAGAAGAAGAAAAGGAAGGAAGGAAGGAAGGAAGGAAGGAAGAAGCATTATCAAACGATGCAAAGGTGAGCGTAAAGCCGACGTACTGCCTCGCTCAAGTATCCCTTTTTTGTGTGGCTGAAATGTTACTAAGAGTTAGACAATGGCCGAAGTTTGTAACGGTGTCAGTCCTGGAAAAGTTTTGTTGCGCCGCCTTGCGTATCCTGCTGCGGGCAACGTTAGAAACCCGCCCCGCGTTAAAGTAAAACGGACACTGCGCGGTAGGTGTTGGCGACACGAGCAGTACGAGGAGTGAATGCTCAAACGTAAACCCCCAAATAGCATAAGCCTGTTCAGTGTAACATTTGAGACAAGATATATACATATATACATATGAGCGAGAAGAGGCGTTTTGGCAACTTTTTCCTACAGTGGTGAAACTCGTTCACTGCACACACACACACATGAACTAATTACATGTTGTACAGGGCTTTGTGGAGTCAAGGTTATTTTTTTATGAGCAGGAATGTCAATGTCTTACTTGACTGTGAAAACGTGTCCTGTGGCGAAAATGCCTTGAGGCTGGACTGTAAACACGCCCACAATATGTGACATCTTCATACAAAAGTTACTTTGCACCTCTGGATTGCACAACTGTAAACAGGCCTGGGAGGGGGTGTAGGCCTGTGTGTGTGTGTGT